CACGAGGAGGAGAAGGATGATGGTTGTACAGAACTTCCTCCTAAGAGGAATGGAGTCATCCCTCTGTTGTTCCGACTGGTGAACTCGAGAATTGTGCTGCTTGCTTGGAGCCAGAATTCAGATGGTGAGAAGATGTCTGTTGAGGCTGATCTAGTCATCAAACCGTTACCCCTTATTGCTTCTCCACTTGGGCACCAACGACACCGCTGAGAATGGCCTGAATACTACCCGGTGTTATGCTTACACAAAGCACACGAGATCTTTTATAGGGGAAAAGGCAGTACGCCGCATTTATTGAGAATCCAACAGTAGCATATGCTTTTCAATCACACACACACAAACGCCAAACCCACAGTCCCGCCAGACAATGTTATAGTTACCCGTCTAGAGTCTGGATCAATCTAGTGGCCAGCCAGATCAATGACAGAGGAGAGCAGGGCCTTTTGTCGATCACGAAATGATGCTCTTCTGGAGCTGGTGACAAGACGAACCCAAAGTTCCACAGCAAGGCTCCCTGCTTTTATAATCCTCTTTCCTTGTTGAAGTCTGTGGATTTTGCTATGACAGTCTATGACTGGTGTGATATCTAACCTATGGGGATCTAACCTATGGGGGGGTACCTGATGGCAGCTGTAAGGGGTGCCGTGCACCGGCTGCATGGTGCCCCTTAGGGCTGCAATCAGGCGCCGCACACCTGAGGGCTGGGGGCTGTGTGGCACCCCTTGGAGCTGCCATCAGGTGCCACACTCCTGTTTGCAGCTGTAAGGTGTGCAGCACGCCATGGGGCGGAGCCATGCATGCGCCGTGCACCTGGGGGCAGAGCCGCGCATGCACCACATGCCCGCTTCCCAGAGTGCAGAAATGGCTCGAGTCAGTCCTGACTGCAGCCACTTCCCTCTTGGCGAACTTTAAATTTTTCCGTAAAAAGGTTCTCAAAAATGAAATCACAATGGCTATGATCCAAAGGGGCTCTACCTCACTTCAGGGTTAGTCTTGTTCTCATGCCCTGTTAAACTTGATTCTCTTTCTTTTTAGTTTTCCCCTCACTTTCTCCAATTGCTCTGCAGCTGCACTTCGATGGCTCTTTGTTATCTCAAACTCTTGCTTATATGCTCCCAAATTAGGGGACAAGTTCTCCCAATGGCTAATGGCATGTGAGAAGGTAGCATAAATCTTCAGACCCACTGTATGAAGGTGGAGAAAAGCTTGTTGAGTCTCTGGGTTCAGATTAGAAATCGGGGATGGGGGAGAAGGAAATGACCTAGGCCCCCTTCCCAACCACTATGAGGAAGGCGATCCTGCCCCCACAGCTGGCACAGAAATGAGGGATGCAGGGGTGCAGGAGTCCTGCTGGCCCGGTGCATCAGGCACTCTTCTGCTTCCCCAGGTGGCTGGGGTCATGGCTGCCACCTCAAGTGCTGGGAGACCTGCGGCTGTCCCAGTGCCCAGGATGGTGAGAGATACCCCTGCTTCCCTGGGGTGGGAGAGGAACTAGGGAGTTGGGGATACCAGAGTCCCCCCAACAACACTATGTGCCAGGAACTCCTCTGCCTCCCTGGGTGTCAGTGTCCCGGCTCTTATTGTGTCAGTCGGGACTCTGCTGACAACCCAGTGCCCATGAGGCTAAAAGAAAGACAGAGAGAGAGAGAGAGAGAGAGAGAGAGAGAGAGACCCATTCCTTTCTGGCCCAGCTGGGTTGCTGCCAGAGTGGGCTATTTAATTGGGCTTCTGGAGTGTTTAATTTTTAATTCACACTTAGGAGGAAAGTACGGATGTAGCCGGATCTAATACGTCTTCACAAATGTAACAGGTGTCAGTCCAGTAAGTAGCACAGTTGTCTACCAGGAAAATGGATTTCTGGCTGAAAATGGAACATTTGAATAATAATCATGATCAGTGTGATGGGGGGGCGGTCACAGACGACCTCTTGGGGGGCCTCCCGGGGTGCTTCCAAGGCTACTGCCACTCGCCTTCCCGCTTTCTGGGACACCTCACTGCCCGGTTCTGCTGGGCCAGCTCCCTGGTCTCCCCCAGCCAAGGCCCCGAGCTGAGGCCCCTGCCACACCGAGAAGCAGCACAGACACCGAACCGCTTCAGGTCCAAGGAGAGGGCAGTTTAGGGTCCAGTTTCCTAAGGCAGCACTCCCCATATGGGATTGGACCCCAAAGAATTGGGTGAGCCCCGTTTAACAATGGAAGGGGGAATGTGCACACTGGTTGCCCCCCATTACACTGGGTTTGACTGAAAATAAAAATGATTTTATTAGGTACAAGCAGTAGGGTTTAAGTAGTAATATGTGAGAACAGGCAGAGCAAAGTAGGGGTACGTCTACACTACAGCGCTAATTCGAACTAACTTAGTTTGAATTCGTTAATTCGAACTAAGCTAATTCAAACTAACGCGTCTAGAACTAAAAACTAGTTCGAATTAGCGTTTTGCTAATTCGAACTAGCGCGTCCACATTAAGTGGACCCTGAACCGGGGTTAAGGATGGCTGGAAGCAGTGCCGGCAGGGCATCAGAGGAGGA